CTGGAAGTTGGGGACAGCCAACTCTTACTTGGAAATGGAAAGTCATGTCACGAAATGAAGGGTGCTTCAACATCAATCTATTAAGATATTCTGCTAACGCCACTTTTATATACGCAATCAGGAAATAATTTTGTCCGAATTATTAACTGACATTAGTCTTAAACTGCCTCCAGAAGGGTTCCGGAGTAACCAACCAAATCATGGAATGCCTCATTACGATCACGAATTTAGGTGAACAAAAAAGCGACTATGATTGCAGCAGGCCACCTTTGATCTTGTTTTGGTACATATTTCCTCTATTGCCTGAAGTATGGATTCCTGCTTTGTTAATGTCTGTCACGGTACAAAATATTGGCACAATTTCATCGGTACAGGACTTCTTCGCACAATTTCACAGTATTCCCTCCGCGACAACCATCCTTCGGTTTTCGGTGAGACCACATCGTGAATTCCCTCCTATCAACTTTCCCTTAGGAATGGAGAGTCATGTCACAATATATGACTGAGAAATTCTTCGAAATCCAGTTTTCCTTCATAATCCACTTCTTGCCAGTCCACAGCGTGTGGTTTAATCCTTCTTTCTCAGAGTTAGCCTATCCTGACGACAACAGGCTCTATGCTCTTTGCGCTCTCTTCTAGAGTGGTCCTACCCCAGCCAATTCTCCTGCCTCATGTGGATGGGTCACACTGACGACTGCATAAACGCAGAGCCAAGAAGTAAAGAGGCTTCGAGTTGCATACGACATCAGCTGACCATGTGATAGCAACATGAGAACGGAGATTGGTAGGAGCCTAGTAGGCATTGATTGGTCATGGGAAAAGGCTATAGGAAATAGGCAAGTGGGGAGCAGTTATTGACAACTGAATTGGGAGACAAGGATTGAGCTCGCCTATATAAACCGGACGGCTGGTTTGACCCGACTAAGTAGCCGTCACCATGTCGTCTCGCATCAACTATCCTCCAGAGGTTGAGTCCAGAATCAACCAGGGCATTGATATGCACCTGTCTGGCGAGAAGACGTACAACTGCATGTCCTCCATCTGCATGTCCGACGAGGTCGCTTTGCCCGAGTTCAGCGAATTCTTCCGCGTCTGTGGAATGCGCATGCGGAGGATTGCCGAGAGGATGAAGCGCTACCAGGAGGTGCGTGGTGCGCACTACTCGATGTCGAGTGATGTCAAGCCA